GGAGCGAGCTCGATTTTCCTCACAGATCGTGATGGTGTAATAGTTTTGAGCGTAGGTACGACTACAAACTCAATACTACTTACTCCTTGATATTGTGCTCGTTATAATCGAATTTTAGGTGAAGAGCTGCGATCTAGAGCTTCTCTGATATCAAGTCTGCAAGCAACGCAAGACCAAACAGGAAAACTTGTGATGGGTAAGTGATGGATGTCTTGAAGCTTCTCTAATAATTTATTTTTCCTTGTCTTGCAGTGCTTTTTATTCTTTTTTTCTCCCATTAAGGTATAAGATGAACAGATCGAGAACTTTTGTTTTAGGATTTTTGAATGAAATCTAGGATGCTATGTATATACATCGTGTCATTCGTTGGCTCTTTGCTTCAGTTTGACAGAAGGGATGGAAATTAGTATTTAAAGAGCTTGAAAATCTATTTGAAATGCGGATTCCGCTGCATCCATTTTAGTCAGTCTTAGATGCACAGTTCGGTAATTGGGAAAATGGTAACTAGCAACAATAGTCATTGACGGAAAAACAAAGTCCTTTTCAATCATTGAGTGTCCTCATGGTGGGCTGCTTAAATTATCCAATTTCCAATGAGATACATGTGCGGATATGAATAGTAATCAAATACCTGAGCGAACATACAAAGTGTCGATCTGCTCTTTCTGTTAAATTACAATGCCAGAGGTCTGATCTCGTAACGAGCGTTCTAAAGGCCTAAATTTTTCTCGGGGGACCTGACTGTCTTACCTATATTCCGTATCACATGGATGCATTCCTCTTATCAGTAAAAGCAGGCAAATTTTTAGTGAAACCGTTCTTTTAATAACTCGAAATGGAGCCTGGATCGAATCAAAATAACCAAATTTTCAAAATATGCGTTTACCGCTTTTGGCTGGATTCAGGGTTCAATTGGTTATTGATGAAAAATAGGGGTTTCTTAAAAAACTTTCTAATGTCCCCTCTTAGCAATTTTTTCAGTGATCAAATCAACCTACACCTTTATCATAAATAGCAGATGCATGTGACGCATGATCCCAACACTTATTGCAGGAACCCACCATGCATCTGCCTTCTTCTATGAGAATAGCCAACTGATCATCTTGAATGTGCCGCCGTTAACAGCTTTTGTTGTTGCCACACCATCAGCGAATACAGGCATGCTGTTTAAATTACGAGAGCAGTTAGCACCCATTGTGCAAGAAGTCGAAGGTGTTGTTCCCGATATGCCAAGCTGTGAGTTTTTGCTGAAAGCGTTAATCCATTTTTATTGGTAATTGTCGATTTAATTTTTACTTAATTGTCCATAGTTGTTGATTTACTATTTAGAAAACTTGCTTGGAACACCTGCTACTATGAAAATTAATTGTTTGATTTTTGCTTTTAATCTGCTTTTTTTGACTATTTTCAGTCGCTTTCCGGCGAGAATATAATTTTGACAACACACTTTCTTACTTCTGAATTTTGAAATTTAGGCGTTTTTAATTAGAGTTTACTGGATTACTCCGAGTTCACTTTCTCAGTCTGCGCCTCGTGCTCTGTTGTGTTTATGCTTGCAACATATTTTTTTCTCTTCACTCTCTTTTGCACTAAAAGAAAACTCACTGATGGAGTCATTGCGAGCGAAAAACACTGGTACATAAAGTGAAGCAAGTCATGTGAAGGTTGTATGAACGTTTGCTTTTGAAACCCAATTTTGACTAACGAAATTTGAAGCATATACATTAAAAGATAACAATGAAGAAAACTTATTGATATAGAAATTAGCCAAATCAACAAGCTTTAAAATGGTTCAATGCCCAAAATATTCAAGACCAATCATCAATTGTGTAATGGCGCCATTGACTTTCACGGTTACTGGACAAAATTGTAAGCCACTCGTTAGAATGTATCTCCTGTATTCAGCGCTACACCACATTCCGTATTTCATAAGGAACAGCGGATTTAAGTTGGTCAGTCCTTATAACGTAAGCGCGATAAGGATCGGCCAATTGGGGCTGCGCGGCAGTTGCATTACGGCCCCCTGTTGG